TTATTGCTGTTGTTACAGCATTTGTTGGGGAGGTTTGAGCACCATTCAGTTAGGAGCCTGTGGAGCACTGTCTGGCACTGCCATTTGGTGAGACCACTCGCTTAGCAGGTCTATATTTTACTGCTTTTTAGAGTTGATTTTTATTCTATTGCTTTGATTACCAAAAATAATTTAATATACTTATGACTATAAGATTTAAACTGTAAGATCATCAATCTAACTAACCTTTAGTTGAAACCTAGAGGAGTAAAATGGCTTGCCCAAGGTCTCATAGATACTCACTTGGAATGGATCTTGACTGACCAGTATTTTTATTAGGCATTAGTTAACTGCTGTTAAAAAAACAAACCAAACCAAACAGGAAAACCTTAAATGAATAACAATGGCACGTCAATCTCTAATTTTTTTTTTTTTTTGGTACTGGGGATCGAACTTGGGTCCTTGTGCTTGTGCAGCAGCCGGCAGAAACACTGAGCTAAATCCCCTGCCCTTAATCTCTAATTTATAAGGAAATCTCAGGTCTCTCAGAATTTTTTCCTAGTTTAGTTTATTTCATTTCTGTTCATAATTAGGCCAAAAATTCATCTGCCTGGTCTCTTGGTGGTACACATCCAAAGTATAAACATTAATTAAATTTCTTTTCTTTTTCCTATTTTTTTTTTTTTTTTTTTTTTTTTTTGGTCCCGGGGATTGAACTCAGGTTCTTGCACTTGTGCAGCAGGTGGCGAAACCACTGAGCTAAATCCCCGGCCCATCCTCTTTTTTTTTTTTTAGCATGATCTCAAAAGCAGCCTTAGTCTCTTCTAGTTTTGCTGATAGACTGTTATCTGCTTTAGTTGCTTTTTATATCTTTTTATTTTGGTTTTATTTTTATTTTGGTATTGTTGCCTTTCCTTTATTAAATCTACTTTTAATATTGTTTTCCCAGTTTCTTTTTAGTTTGAATTGGTATTTAACTTTAAATTTTTGCCTTTACTTGTGTTTATTTTTGTATAAAAGAATGAGGATAAGTCCATCTTTTTAAGGGTCTGCTGCTGCATTGTGTGAGCGAGCCCCTTTGGTTTTAGGTACTGGGTCAGTTAGAAGTACCTAGAGTTTTATGCCATTTGAAAGTAGCTCAATACTCCTGTGTTCACTTGGTTTCTAGGTCTATTCTGGATAGCAGGTTTTGTGAAGATATTTATTCTTTCTTGGACCTCAGATTTCCCAGACATCTCATGGTATTTCCTTTTATATTATTTCTTTAATGGCTGCCATTCTCAATTATTTTGTATAACACTTACTTACCAGTTGGATGACCAGTTTTTTGATTTGCATATGGGAAAGTTTATGGTAACTGTTTGCCCCCTTATGCCTGTGCCGTAAGCTCATTGTTTTGCTTTCTACATTGGCTCTCCTATTTGACAAAAGTTATTTTTAGAGGTAGTGAATTGACCCTAATGAATTTATGATTTTATTAAATATAAACCAGATTTTAAAGCAACATGACTTTTCTGGCTATAGAACAACTTTTGATACTAACTGGAAATAGTGAAATATTTGTCATTTTATGGCCTCAGAATCTGTGACTTCTTGTCTTCTGACCTTTTGTGAGTAAATTACCAAGATCTTCTTTCTTATTGAATCAAACTCAGAGTATATAGTTTTCTTTCAGATATGATGATGTTTTTATCCTGAGGATGAGTTTCTGTGTTTTTAGAGAGATATATTTCTGGAGGTGTCGTGTAGTTATGTTTATAGCACTTGATGTATAAGGTGACAGTCATTTGGTTACTGAGGCCAGAACTGTACTTTCATCCCAGTTGTTCTTTTACCAGTCCTTTTGTAGAGTACAGTTACGTTACAGGCACACTGCAGGGTTTGGGAGACAGGCAATAATCAAACAAATGAAACCCATTGTCCGAAACAGGCTTATAGCAAACTCTTCTGTTATTTAAAAACAGGTCAAGGATAATGCTTATTGATAATTGTATTGTTACATAAAGAGGTGCACACTATTAAATATGTACCTAAATAGATCATTTTAGATCAAATTACTCAATTACTTAAAAGAGCACACAATGACCTTATAAATCTGATACAAAGATAACCTGAGCTGAAGAAAACATCTACCAACTTGATGTTATCAACAAGGAAGAGTCCTCCGTACACCCCTACCCCTCAATACTGGGGATCAAACTCAGGACCTTGCACTTATAAGGCAGGTGCAGCGCCGCTGAGCTAAATCCCCAGCCCCAAGGAAGAGTTTTTTAAAAATTGTGGTTGTTACCTTTATTAGTCCAAGTCTTCAGCATTGTAGCTAAGGAAATGCAGAATAGTGTAACATTTGAATAGAACAAAGTCATAGGCTTGTACATTGTTTGTACTTGCCACATAGAAATTTTATAGTTTGTGCTAGTTAATAAATAGGGCACTTATGAGGTAACTCTAATGTGGTCATATGTACAAAAAAGCAGGTAGGACAATATTTCCTTTTGCTCACTGTCTTCCCCCCCTCAACCCACGCACACACCGGGGATCTGATTGAACTCGACCTTGCACTTGCCAGTCAGGTGTGATGCCATTGAGCTACATCCCAGGGCCTTGTTCACTGTTTTAATCATCATTGGGGAATGATTTTAATTTGTAAAGCAAATTATAAAAATATGGCATGTAAAAAACGGTAATTTTTAAAAAAACTATTAACAGATTTTCTCTAAATGAGAATACAGTATTTTTCTATATACATATTGTTTTGGGATGCAATAAGAGGAATTCTTGTTATGTGGCTATGGTTCAAGTATCCCTTATTGAAAATGCTTGGAACTGGAATTATTTCAGATTTTGAATTTTTTTCAGATTTTAGAATATTTACATAGACTTAACCAGTTGAGCATTTCCAATCTAAAAATGTGAAACCTGAACAGGTTTTGGAGCATTTCAAGTTGCATATTTTCAGATTAGGGATGTACAACCTGTGCTGTGCATTGATTGTTATAGGTATGTGTAATGTGTTCTTTGAAATGCTTTACATTTATTATTTCATTTCCTTCACAGAAACCCTATGAGGGTAGGTCTCCATTTTATAAACTTGGGACCTGGTTCTTAGATTAAATAACTTGCCCAGTCTAGCGTATTTTGTTAGTGGTATGAGCAGGCTCCAAAGTTAATGTTTCTTTTAAGTGTAATTGCCTGTTGTTTTGTAGTTGTTGTTTTGGGTTTTGTTTTTGTTTTGTTTTGGGGTGAGATCTTGCTGTATTTCTCAAGCTGGTCAGGAACTTTTGGATTTACGATCCTCCTATGTAAGCCTCCAGAGTAGTTGGGACTACACCATGCCTGGATTATTGTGTATTTTCATATTATAATAACAATCTAGTAGCTTTCTTCTAATTACACATGATGTAAAAGTAAAAGCTAGTTTTTTGTAGACTTCAGCTACTTTTAACACTTTATTTTCCTATTTTGATAATTTTCCTTCATAGCGTATGAACTCATAATCTGTATCTATGAAATAGGAGTTAACCCCGTTAGGCATTCTCAAGCTTAATTGTAAAGATTAAAAGTAAGTATAAAAAATACTTGAAGAAGCACTGCTCTTCTTTATTTCACGTATAGCACTAGAGGGAGAGGACAATATTGCTATTGCAGTTTTCCTTTTTTTTTTTTTTTTGGTACCAGGGATCGAACTCGGGTCCTTGCTCTTGCAGGGCAGGCAGCGGAACCACTGAGCTAAATCCCCGGCCTCAGTTTTCCATTTTATAGGATTGTCTGTTTTCTTTTTTTTTTTGGTACCAGGGATCGAACTTGGGTCCTTGCGCTTGCGCAACAGGTGGCGAAGTCACTGAGCTAAATCCCCAGCCCAAATCCTTTGCTGTTATTTTTTTTTTTTTGGTACAGGGGATTGAACTCGGGACCTTGCACACTTGCAAAGCAGGCACCAGAACCACTGAGCTAAATCCCCAGCCCTGATTGTCTGTTTTCTTCGTAAGTTTTATGGTGCCATTATTGAAAAGTCTTTGAGTAGATATTTTATAAAAATACACATAGCAAATGTTATGGAGTAAATTTAAGTTAGAAAAATTGATGTTGAAGCTATCTTTTAGTTACTGTCATAAATGTGCTTAAAGCCTCACATTTATTTTCTCCACTAACTAGTTGTATTAATTCTAGAGAGTTAAAGTAATTGAAAAAGTAAAGAACCCCCTTGATATTCATAGATGTATATATTATGAAAAATGACAGTCACTGTAAAACTATTGATTTTATTACAAATAAAATAGTTTTCCTTGTGTACGTATGTATGTAGTACAGTAAAATTGGTTCTAATCCGGGTGTTATCTCTTAAACTGAGAAACTTTGGTTATTTAGACTTTCTTAGCTTTGTGTTCCTTAGTGATAAAATGAAGATACCTATCTCAGAATTGTGAGAATTACACTAGTTATGCAAAAGGCTTGGTATGGTGCTTGGTCCATAAGTTGTTAGTATATTGTTAGATCACTCACTGAACCAAGGAGATATGTTTTTGAAGGCTAATCCTGTAAGAAATTAAATTTGATCTTTTAAAATGAATTAAGAGTATGCCTTAGTAATCTTCTATGGCATTTTAAATCAGAAAGTTTATCAGAAACTAACTACCATCCACCCTTCCTTCCTTCATCCCCCTCTCTTCTTTCTTTTTTTGGTACCAGGGATCGAACTCGGCACCTTGTGCTTGTGAGGAAGGCGCTGGAACCACTGAGCTAAATCCCTGGCCCATCCTCCCTTCTTTCTTTCTGGTAATGGAGGTTGAACTCAGGGCCTCAGACATGCTTAAGCACTTTTCTATCACTGAGCTACATTCCCCAAAACTTCGTTTGGTTATAGTTGCACAATTTAATTCAGAAAAAGAAGCAAATTTCCATTTATATTAAGATCTTAGTAAAGAATGTTTTCTTCATATGTTTTACTTACTATTTTTATAGTGTGATTGTTACTACTTAAGATATTTCTTAACTCTTTTGTTCCCATTTCTTTCAAACAGGGTTTGTGGATGCACTTAGATGTTTGCAATGAGCACTGTGGCTGGCATGCCCCAGTGTTTTGGATACCAATGCATAGGACTCCATAGTAATCGAATTTACCAGAGGCGAACGTCATGAGCATAGTGATCCCATTGGGGGTTGATACAGCAGAAGCGTCATACTTGGAAATGGCTGCAGGCTCAGAGTAAGTATTTAAATTAAAGGTACATTGGGTAGGGAAAGGCAAAATATTACATGCAATTATTTTAGCACAACAAAGTAGTGTTAATTGCATTTATATTTTTCTCATTTTGGATTCTGGACTAAAATATCAGTTTAAGGGGAATTTTTTCTTTAGCTAAGATTACTTCTACAAATAACTTTTGAGCCAAAATTTAGTCTTTTAAAAATTCTTTTTGTCTTTTACAATTTGTTGCCATCAAGAATCAAGAGGGCCGGGGATTTAGCTCAGTGGTTCTGGCGCCTGCCTCGCAAGCACAAGGTCCCAAGTTCGATCCCCGGTACCAAAAAAAAAATAATCAAGATATTTATTTTTAATGTAAGACTGTGTTTCCCTGAAAATAAGACCTAATGGGAAAATAAACTCTGGTTATTACCATGGTAATGCCCAGTGTCATGCAGATTATACCTCACTATTGGTGGCTACTCTGTATGGCAGGTAAGGTGAGGGATGGGGCCTGGCATTTTAATCTCTAATTTTCAAGGCTGATTATTTTTGGTTAAGTGTTATTTTCAGGGAATGCAGATCTGTTGTGCTTATTTTGCAAAGTAATTTGGTTCTAAATTTTAATCTTAACTAACTTAAATTTTAGTCCTAACAATATATGGATGTGTACTATTATCCATTTAAGCCCATGATTTGCTTTCTTTTTGGTTGACTGGTTTTTGTGGTCCTGGGGATTAAATCCAGCCAGGGGTGTTCTGCCAATGGGCTACACCCCCCAACACTTTTTAATTTTCACTAAGAGTCTTGCTAAATTGCCCAGGCTGGCCTCAAATTTGGGATCCTCAGTCCCCTGAGTAACTGGGATTAACACCTGGCACAGGATTTGCTTTCTTTTTAAAAAAGAAAGCTGAGTTCAGAAAGTCAAGCTGCTTTTAAATAGAATAAAGGGAATATTTTGACAACTTTTGTTTTTATGGAAGCCATTTCTGATGTATTCAGTGGTCTCTTCTTACCTTGCCTCTATAAACAGTTTGGACTAGGTATTTGTCTGGATAGATTTAATTTTCTTTTGTTTTTGAATGATGAACCACTTCAATACTAAATTAAAAAATTTTTTTTTGGTACTGGGGATTGAATGTGGGACCTTGCGCTTTCGAGGCAGGCGCTGGAACCACTGGCTAAATCCCCAGCCCGATACTAAATTATTGATAGATTGTTTTTGAAAATTACAAGTTCAAGTGATTATTGAAGCTGAGGCATGGAAAAGTGCATGTTCTCTGGTTCAGTATATAGATGTATCTTGATTAATGAGACTTTCCTCAGTCAGAAAGATGAATTTAATACATTTTAAAATGAAAAAAGTTGGTCTAAGGGCCGGGGATTTAGCTCAGTGGTTCTGGCACCTGCCTCGCAAGTGCAAGGTCCTGAGTTCTATCCCCAGTACCAAAAAAAAGTTGGTCTAGGGATTTAACTCAGTGGCACTGTGCCTGCCTGGCAAGCACAAGATCCTAAGTTTGATTCCCAATACTGGGAAAAATAAAAATAAAACAAAAAGTTGTTAGGACTCCAGAAACTGTCACATTGAAAGCAAGAAAATGCTGTCATTGTTTCTCCTTTAGTTGGTGTTCTAATGTCTAGAAGCATTTTGTTTTTATCACTCCTGCTTCTGCTATTGGAAAAGGCCTAGAGGTACTGTCTACTATTAGTGCAGTATCCTACACATGCTATTTAAATGTATGATTATTATATGGATTTTTTGAGAGGGTTCTTATTCTTTTGTTTGGTTTTATTATTTTGAGGTACTGGGGATTGAATCCAGGGCCTTGCACATGTTAGTTAAGAGCTCTACTGCTGAGCCACATCCCCAGCCCAATTATTTTAAGATTTTTAAAAGCCATTGTAAGTCCCATAAATGAATTTTTAAAAAATGCAATAGATACTCTCTATGTACTATGTATAAGTTGATTATTTGGTTTTCTTTCTTTTCTTCTTCTTTTTTTTTTTTTTTAAAAAATAGATTCTCAAAGAAGGTACTCAAATTACCATTGACTGACACTCACTCTACCTAGATGTAGACACTGCTAATGACAGTAGTGATGGAACCCTAGAAGCAGGGACTGAGGGGAAAGAGGATCCCAGTCTAAAGTATGCCCCCCGCCCCCCCCACATTGTTGAAGATTAAATCCAGAGCATCAGGTATTCTAGGGAAGCAATATTCTACTACTGAGTTACACTGCATTTTCTAGACTTTCTTAATATAAAACATCTGATAGGTACACACCCAATGTCCTAGTATTAAGCATGTGTGGACACCTGTAGATGCTCAAAGATTCTTTGCTTCCTAGAGATATTTTCCTAGAAATATTTTCTTGTACAAATATTATTGTACAAATGTTATTATGAGGAAATAATTCAGTTTATAGATAGTTGTAGAGTAATTGCTTTTTAATGCTTCTATTTCAAGAAATGAGAATTTTCCTAATCCTCATATAGGTGTATGTCTTTCAGATATAATTTTCCCCACTCAGGGGACACAAAGTATAGATGGTGCCAGTTTTTATTATGAAACAGCCATTGGAACTTTTCATGGTGTAATTTCATAATTTTTAAATTCTCCTTTTTTATTTAAGACCTAAAAATCTAAAAAGATCCTTAAGTCACATTTTCCCTTCTTTCCACAGAAACAAAAGCTTTTGGAGCTATTTTCATAAGAAATTCTAGTATAACATGTTCTTTCCTTTAATTCCCAATATACAATATAATCAAAAGATACTGAAGTTGGGCCGGAGATTTAGCTCAGTGGTTCTGCCGCCTGCCTTGCAAGCGCAAGGACCTGAATTTGATCCCTGGTACCAAAAAATCAAAACAAAACTGAAGTTCTATAAGATGGTGGTATGTGACTGTAGTCCAAGGTACTCAGTACTTGGGAGACTGAGGTAGGAGGATTGCTTGAGCTCAGAAGTTCAAGGCTACATACCAAACTTTGTAACCTCTTAAAATTCTATAATTCAAAGTAATTTTTTAAAAATAAATTTTATTTTTCTCACTTGAGTTTGTAACTTTATATATATATAGTTTGTTTGTTTGTTTGTTTTTGGTACCAGGGATCAAACTCAGGACCTTGTGCTTGCAAGACAAGTGTTGGAACCACTGAGCTAAATCCCCGGCACAACTTTATATTTTTTTTTAAAGATTATAATGCTTAAGTACTGTATATCTGTAACAAACTAGAATTTAAGAGGAATTCAAATGTTTATTAATGAATAAATATAGCAGATTAGAATTTATAATCAGATATAGTACAAACACCTCAATTCCAGCTACTCAGAGGCTGAGGCAAGGGGATCGTAAGTTTGAGGCCAGTCTTGCTAACTTATACCCTGTTTTAAAGTAAAAGGAGCTGGGAATGTAGTTCAGTATTTCCTCTGTTCAATCCCTGTACTGCCCCAACATTGTAATCACTTCTAAAAGGATGAAAGGGAATTTGTTGCATAATTTACAGATTATCTAATATACCTGTAGTATTTTATAGATAGAAAATTGAAGGTCAGGTCAGAGTATGAGGAAGGTTTGGTTAAACTCTAGTGTTTTCTGTTTTTGTTTTTTTTTTTTTGGTACTGGGGATCAAACTCGGGACCTTGCGCTTTTGAGGCAGGCGGTGGAACCACTGAGCTAAGTTCCCAGCCCCAGATGCTAGTGTTTCTGTTCTCAGTAACATTTGTTTTTGGGTGATTGTATCTCTAGAAATCATTCATCCCACATCTATTTTCTTTACTTGTTTTCCTAAATTCCAAAGTTTTGAAAAATCTTGATCTCATTTTGCCTTTCAGGATGGAGATTTTTTTTTCCTTGAGACAGGGTCTTGCTGTGTAGCTCAGGCTGGGCTTAAACTCGTGATAATCCCGAGTGCTGGGATTACAAGCATTGGCCATCAACCTGGCTAAGATGGAAATGTTGTGTTTCACTACTTGATTCTTCCTAAACATTTGAATTAAAAAGGAAAATTGTAGTGGCACTGCACGTGCCTTGCAAGTACAAGGTCCTGAGTTCGATTCCTGGTACCAAAAAGAAAGGAAAATTGTAAGGTACCTTAGAAATAAATGATCACCAAGAATTGATGTACTATAAATTAGGGATTTCTACTTTAATAAGAACAATAAAATTTTGTTTCATGAGCTTAAGTGTTTAAAAAAAAATGATTGTGGGAACCCTTCTCCACCATTGGTGGAGTGTAGACTAGTGTAACCACTGTGGAAATCAGTGTGAAGGGGCTGGAGATTTGGCTCAGTGTGGTGGTGTGCCTGCCTCACAAGTGCAAAGTCCTGAGTTCAATCCCTGGTACCAAAAAAAAAAAAAAGAAAAGAAATCAGTTTGGAGATTGCTCAAGAAACTAAAACTAGGGCCAGGGATTTAGCTCAGTGGTTCTGCCGCCTGCCTCGCAAGCCCAAGGTCCTGAGTTCGATCCCTGGTACAAAAAAAAAAAAGAAACTAAACACTAGAGGTTCCATTTGACCCTGCTATACATATTGTTCTTGGTATCTTCCCAAAAGAATTAAAAGCATCTTACCACAGTGATATATGCACACTCATGTTTAGAGCAGCACAGTTTGGAATAGCTAAAGCTTGGAAACAGCCCAAATGCCCATCAACAGATGAGTGAATAAAGAAGATGGGTTTTTTTTATTCAATGGAGTACTACTCTGCCATAAAGAAGGATGAGCTTCAGATATTTATAGCTAAATGGATGGACCTTGAGATCATACTCTTAAGTGAATAAATCAGACACATATGTTTAAATACATTGTTTCTTTGGTGGGAGAAATTGAAAGTGGAAATAAGGACTGAAATGTATAATGGATGTTGGGAAATGGGAAGAAAGTGTTCAATGGGAAGGAGAACAAGGGAGGAGGGAGGGAGAAAGGAAGGAGGGGACAAGAAAAAAAGTGAAAATAGAAGAAAAAATGGAAACAAAGCTTTTGTACATAGGGGAGGGGGCTTGAGGGGGGATGGGATAAAAT